AATTTCTCTACAAGGTATGAGAACTTTCACAATTTAATCGATGAAATTAGAACCATTTTCCAATACAAAACATGTTAAGATCTGACCAGTTCAAATACTCAATGTCAAATTCCATTTTTTTTTTCCCTTCGAAATTTTACACAAAGGAGTGTAGATGAAATTTTGTTTATGAGGGAAATGCCTATATATATACAAACATTGATGATTTTGTCTTAGGTATTCTCATTCATAACACAAAAATAGAGAAAAGTCTGGTTTCAGTCAACAAATTTTTAAACTAAAACATTAGCTTTATATGTTAGAACAAAAGAAACTCGTAAATACTTTTTACCAGAATTTCTGCAAATTGAAAGTGTTGTGATAATCAACTGTGCTTATTAATCATGCTTGTACTTTTATAAGCCTATCAGTACTTCTCATTGTTTAAACTTATTTGCTCTAAATAAATAAAAACTAGATTGGGATTCTAATATACATGCATAATTTTTGGATAAATTCTTTTTTTTTTTTTATTGCCATATGTTGAGCTTATCGATTGAGAAGAATCATTTTCTGTCTCTGCCCTGAAATTGTCTCTATTTGAGTGTCTTGTGTTTACTCTTTTCTGATGTGATAAAATCCATTTTGTAACCATTATCCCAATCAGATGTACATATAAACATTGATGAGATCAAGACTTTGCTCAGGTTATGCCTATCATTGACAATATTTATTTTTAGGTCATCGGACCCGAAGGGTCCGATGACCTATAGTCATCATGCTTCGTCCGTCGTCGTCCGCCGTGCGCCGTGCGTCGTGCGCATGTCAAAATATTTAAATAACTTCTTCTCAAATACTAGAATGCCTAGGGGGCTAATACTTGGCCCATAGCATGCTGGCATGGAGCCCTACAAAGTTTGTTCAAATGAATGACCTTGGCCCACTTTCAAGGTCACAGGGGTCAAATATGTTAAAATATACAAAGGACTTCATCTCAATAAGCAAAAGTCTATGAGTGCCGATATTGGGTCTGTAGCATGCTGGGAGGAAAGGCTACCAAGCTTATTTAAATGAATGACCTTGAACAACTTTCAAGGTCGCAGGGGTCAAATATGTCAAAATCTTTAAATAACTTCTTCTCAAATACTAGAAGGCCTAGGGGGTTAATACTTGGCCCATAGCATGCTGGCATGGAGCCCTACAAAGTTTGTTCAAATGAATGACCTTGGCCCACTTTAAAGGTCACAGGGGTCAAATATGTTAAAATCTTTAAACAACTTCTTCTCAATAACCAAAAGGCTCAGATTGCTGATATTGTGCCTGTGGCATGCTGGGATGAAGGGCTATCAAGTTTGTTTAAATGAATGACCTTGAACAACTTTCAAGGTCACAGGGGTCAAATATGTCAAAATCTTTAAATAACTTCTTCTCAAATACTAGAAGGCCTAGGGGGCTAATACCTGGCCCATAGCATGCTGGCATGGAGCCCTACAAAGTTTGTTCAAATGAATGACCTTGGCCCACTTTCAAGGTCACAGGGGTCAAATATGTTAAAATATACAAAGGACTTCATCTCAATAAGCAAAAGTCTATGAGTGCCGATATTGGGTCTGTAGCATGCTGGGAGGAAAGGCTACCAAGTTTATTTAAATGAATGACCTTGAACAACTTTCAAGGTCACAGGGGTCAAATATGTCAAAATCTTTAAATAACTTCTTCTCAAATACTAGAAGGCCTAGGGGGCTAATACTTGGCCCATAGCATGCTGGCATGGAGCCCTACAAAGTTTGTTCAAATGAATGACCTTGGCCCACTTTCAAGGTCACAGGGGTCAAATATGTTAAAATATACAAAGGACTTCATCTCAATAAGCAAAAGTCTATGAGTGCCGATATTGGGTCTGTAGCATGCTGGGAGGAAAGGCTACCAAGTTTATTCAAATGAATGACCTCAACCCACTTTCAAGGTCACAGGGGTCAAATATGTTAAAATATACAAACGACTTCTTCTCAACAAGCAAAAGTCCATGAGTGCTGATATTGGGCCTGTAAGATGCTTGGAGGAGAGGCTTCCAAGTTTGTTCAAATGAATGACCTCAACCACTTTCTAGGTTTGGCTTGCTTTTTGTCAGATGACCGTTAAGGCCCATGGGCCTCTTGTGTCTTTAATCAAATCATTAATTACAAAAAAATTTTGTTATAAAATTCCTTATAACACTACCAAACCAGCAATCTTTATATCCTTGTTGTGCCACAGTGGTATTTAAAGTAATTATTCTTGAAAACGATTACTTTAGTATGTGGTGATAAGATAACATAATTTGAGTACATATGTTCAAAAATTGTTTTTACAATTCTTTATGCAGTTGTCAATATATTCGCTGCCACAGTTTGGAAGATTTATAATGTTGTAAGATTTCACAACATATTGCCATTTACCTGTAGTTTGAAAAAGTGTTCTTATACATGTTAGATTTATAAAGTTACAGAAAGCTGAAACATTAACCATTCTTAAATTCCCATTAGTATAATCTGCACAATTATCTCCTTTTTTATTTTATCAGGACCCTCATTCCATAGCTAATAAGAAATATTGAATTAAGTATAACAATAAAGGCATTATTAGGGTTAGGTAGAGAAATAAAGGAGTAAACTGTGATATAAGTAATATCTTAATGATATTGATTTTTACATAAGGAGTTAATTACCTCTTTTCAAAGTATTAAGTGATGTTTTAGTAATTTTTTGTCAAAATTAAGTTTGGGTATCTCATGGAGGTTTACATTAAACTCTATTCCTGACAATGTAAATTTTCCTTACCCTACTGTGCTCAGTTCAGGGTTAAGATGACTTGTAGCCTTGGGTGTTTGTCAGTAGTTGTGGCAGTCTGAGGTAAACTTCCCATTCAAATGATTTCTTCTCAATAACAAGCTGGCTAAGGGTACTGATATGACGCCTGTAGCATGATCGGATAAAGGGCAATCAAGTTTGTTAATATGAATGACCTTGACCTATTTTCAAGGCCACTAGGGTCAAGTATGTTGACATCTTTAAACAACTTCTCCTTAACCAAAAGGTCCAGGGTACTGATATTGGGCCTGTAGCATGATAGGATAAAGGGCTACCAAGTTTATTAATATGAACGACCTTGACCTACTTTCAAGGTCACTGGGGTCAAATATGTAGACATCTATAAACAGCTTCTCAACCAAAGGTCTCAAGGTGCTGATATTGGGCCTGTAGCATGATGGGAAGAACGGCTACCACGTTTATAAATATGAATGACTTCGAGTTGCTATTAAGTCACAGAGGATCAAACATGTTAAAATGTTAAAACATCTTCTCTATAGCCGAAATGTCCAGGGTGCTGATATCAGGCCAGCTGCTTTCAAGGTCACAGGGGTCAGATATGTTAAAATGTTTAAACGACTTCTTCTCCATAGCCAAAAGGCCCAGGGTGCTGATATTGGGACTGTAGCATGATTGGCAGAAGGGCTACGTAGTTTGTTCATATTATTGACGTAGACCTACTTTCAAGGTTAAAGGTGTCAAATATGTCAAAATCTTTAAAGAACATCTTCTCAATAAGCAAAAGGTCAATAGTACTGATATTATGTCTTTTAGCAGTTGGGATGAAGGGCTAACAAGTTTGTTTAAATGTCAACGACTTTGTGAACCAACCATTGCTTTTGTATGAGTTGAAGTGTAGTTGAGCAATTTATCTTATTCATTCATATATAGGTCTTTATAGTCGGAGGACCCACAAGTCCCGCGGGCCTCTTGTTTCACTTTTTTACACGCGACTGATTTTAACACAGTTTTTCATAATACCTCGTCAAGTCTTTTATATTACATTTCAGATACCTTAATTGTGTCTGAATCGCTGTATTTACGATGAACCGCAATATTTTGATGTTTGTCGCTTTAACAGTGTATGTACCGTACCCTATTCTAAACCAAATTAACTCCTCTATCTGTAATTCTGACAACTTTATTTCAAGAGGAATAAAAACAACGATACAGACAATACGTCCAAATCGAAGAAGAAATATACAGAGAATGAAATTGTAAAAAGTTTTCTATGGTTGGCAATATCTTGGTGAGTTCTGTAGTAAAGGAACAAACTCTGCCTCTCGCATGGCTGTCTATTGAACACCTCATAAAAATTAAACGTAGTGTTGACCATGTCCGTCGTATATACACACAAGAATTTGATATTTCCAAAATACCAATAACCAATAAATTGTGCATTTTCCAAATCTTTACAGAACCCCTGATTCCACAAGTACATGACGTTTACATGTCGCTTTTGATCCGATATTCAAGGGCTTGTTCCCAATGTCACAATTTTCCTGTTGTAACTAATGTGACATGATTTGAAGACATACACGATAATAAAGTTTATGGGTAAGTTTTATGGTTGACATGATGATTAGGGAAGATGGGCAGGTTCGATTTACCTTATTTTGTGTGTCTGTTGGTTACGCTGTTATTTACATTGTTCTCATTTGGGAACGTGACATTACTTGGTTGATTGATCACGATAACACGGCGCTTACTTTTATTTTCCCTTTACTTATTTCTTGAGTGTCCGAGTAAACTGTTTGTTCCTTTTTGCCCTAGTTTCGTCGAGTGTGACCTAATACCTACATTACCGTTACATATTTAGAGTTATCGATGTAATTGACTTTATAATTAACCTCTCTAATCTTCAGTATCATTATACACCGATAATGATTTCTCTCGCGTACGTATTGATGTGATGTTATGAATGAAATTCGTCCGAGTATATCGGGGACTAGATCATGGATATTATAAAAAGAGGCGTTACATTAGATTCCGTTGTCATTTTATGATAATAGCTGCACAGTCTGTTTTTTTATCCTTCTGTGTGACCATGTCGGTGTGTATATCATGATTGAGGCTCAACCAGTACTTGGATAACTAAAAGACATAAATTCCTGTATTTTTTAAAATCCATTTTCTATTGATTGATTTTATTGCGATTAAATATTTTTCACGTTATATTGTGTATTTGAATTTGAATTTAGAGCCTTCCATTTCTTTTCTAAAGTATTCGTCAAACATTTCACTTTGTGCAACTGTAAACCACTGTTTCCATCCCCCGACTTCTCCTGAAACGTTAGATAAAGAGAGATCAGGCATCCATCTACAGGTTATTGGATCATATATCAATTAAATATGTTATAAAAATCACGAAACTCTGAAACTCAAGAAAGATTGAACTGAACTTTGTCGTATTTTATGTTTGTATGAACGCATTGGAATACAAAAATATGCATTTGAATTGTGGTAAAGTACAAATTTGGTGATAAATTTATTACACTGTTATGCTGAACTCATATCTTTATATACATTTCGTAAATTCCAAAGTATTGTTTTAACTACTATACTTTACGGTTAAGGAAAATAAGCATAGTATCTAAACATCTATCTTTATAATGATGCAACGAACTTAACAAAATGATGATTAAGTTTTATTAGATTACATTTATTTAATTTTACTATATAACCTAAAGCACGTGCAATCGTAATTTGAAAAGCAAAGAGAAATTCCACACAATGTGTATAAAAAGAAAATCCGAAGCTGTAACTAAAGTATTTTTTAACAGAACGATGAAAATGATTAGGACAAGGTAAGTTCGAACCTGAACTGGTATTTTACTATAAGATTCCTGGGAACGCCACACAAACGAGCTATCTTCAGAAAAAAACCACAGGGACTTGATACGAGTTTCCGACCCATGGTCCATACGCATGTATTATAGTTAGTATAATGCATGTATATATATATGGACCACTGGTCCGAGATTCGTGCCAAGTCCCTATGAGAACAACTAAAGAGATTTTATTACTGTATCTTACTACTGAAATGGTATATTCTCAAGTTTTGAAGGTTGATAATATGCAGCGTTATCAATCCAAAACTACCCTATGTAGATAATCACATCACTTGTTCTATGATAATTATATAATGTTTTACCTTTCCTATAGAGGAAGTGCCACATCATAGTGTCAGATCGACCGGTTTTACCCTTCTTCAGATTTACAAATGAACATTTGTCAACAACGTCCTGGACGAATGAATCGGTACACGTCACATTCAGATATGATGCCAATTTCTTTACTTCTTGAACAGGGTTCTGTTGACAATATTAATAAAAATCAAATCAAATCAGGGAGTGAAATATAAGCATAATACGTACTTGTAGTATAGAATAATCTTTTTAAAACCTGTAAGCCCGTTATGCAACGTAATAGAATCACTTGTTTCAAATCCTGTTAGCTCATTGTGTGACGAATGGTGACTCGTTACAATCACCTGTTTCAAATCCTGTTTGCTCATTGTGTGACGAATGGTGACTCGTTACAATCACCTGTTTCAAATCCTGTTAGCTCATTGTGTGACGAATGGTGACTCGTTACAATCACCTGTTTCAAATTCTGTTTGCTCATTGTGTGACGAATGGTGACTCGTTACAATCACTTGTTCCAAATCCTGTTAGCTCATTGTGTGACGAATGGTGACTCGTTACAATCACCTGTTTCAAATCCTGTTAGCTCATTGTGTGACGAATGGTGACTCGTTACAATCACTTGTTTCAAATCCTGTTAGCTCATTGTGTGACGAATGGTGACTCGTTACAATCACATATTTCAAATCCTGTCAGCTCATTGTGTGACGTATAATGACGTTATAGAATTTCTCGTTTCAAATCCTGTCAGCTTTTTTTATGAAGACGTAACGGGCTCACCTGTTTTAGATCCTGGTAGAACATTATGTGACGTATGATGATGTTATTGACTCACCTGTTTGAGATGCTGGTAGAACATTATGTGACGTATGATGATGTTATTGACTCACCTGTTTTAGATCCTGGTAGAACATTATGTGACGTATGATGATGTTATTGACTCACCTATTTGAGATGCTGGTAGAACATTATGTGACGTATGATGGACTCACCTGTTTTAGGTCCTCGTAGTAGATAATGTGACGTGGAATATCGGGATTCGTATCCAGATCCGTTTCCCAACCCCTCATATACTGAGACCAGGTGTTATGTGGTACTGCGATATATAAATAAATAGTCAAAAGACAAACGATCGACAAATTAAGACATACCTAAAGTCAGCAAGAATCCATAAAGTGTTATTTGTTTTCCCGTGAACTTGATATTCTTTCGGAATTTATGTCGCTTTTATATGATTTATTGTCAAGAATCTCTTAAAAATGGCTTCTGCTGCCTGTTACTCCTTTCAAGTTGTACGTGTTTGTTTTCTCTTCAAAAACGACACGAGAAAGCGAACACTTCAAAAGCATTGGTATTTCAAGTCAAATCGATCTCAATTTTTACGCCAGATTTTGATGTAAACTCACCCACTTCACTCATAAACAAAGATAAGAAATCGTCAAAACTGCCCCGGTAAGCAAATGCCGAGCCCTTCGCTGACATATGATTGTAGAAAGACACTGCAATATCTTTAGGGTTTCGCACTACAAATACAATCTTGCACCTCTTGTCGACAAGCTTCTTTGGAAGATTGCTAAACCTTAGGTGAGTGTTGAGTATCCTTGGTGACGGCAAAGCGTCTAATTTTTCCAGTGAACGAAACTCCAGCATCGCATCCTCCTTTGGTCCTGATGCGTATTCTGTCGTTCCTCTTGTCAACATTGTCATGATTTCCCATACCCAGTGGGTTCCTAGGTTACATAATCAAGTAGTCACTTAGAACATACGACAAAATTAACATTGAATGTACATGTAGTTACCCCAACGTGCACTAAGTAAATTATGTAATTACAAGTAAATATTGATACACTTCGATGCAGGTAGAAAAAATATTTAAAAGTTTTTATATTTACACTTAATTACTACATATGCTCATCAAAAAAAATTAAAAAGTACCTTATACCTGTCGTTAGAATAGTAGAAGCAGTTGGTGTTACCACTTGGACGTCAGTGACAACGCCACGACAACAAAATAAATCTAAGACCAAATTATTTTAAAATGAATGTAACATGTAACATTACATCTAGATGTTTTGCATGTCTCTTTACAGTTAAACAACGATTGTATAAAATTTAGAGATGTAAGCAAACATTTAATGGTATAGTAACCTATACTGTTGAACAAGCCTAACACGTAAATATGGATTAATATACCAATTATGAGTTATGAACTTCATATACACACTATGTAACAGAAGTGTAAAATTTAGAATTGTAATTCAGAAATATTAAGTGGATATTTTGGATTTCGTTGTTAACGAATTGTTAACGATGATCCCTTGAAATTGGTTTCTATTTTTATCACGTTCATGCAGTCGGGCTTTAATGGCGTCGGTGTAGTTGACACGACGTTAGATATGCTGTGGCTATGGACGTCACTCTTGCGAAAGGATCCTATCACAAGATTTTAAAACGGAAGAAAAATGAGATACTAATGTACAATATACGCATGACTTTGATAAGGTTAATTAAGTATCAAATGCATGCTTCTTTACGGATTGTAGAAACCACCCACATTAGTGTTAGGCACTGTAAATCTCACTGTTTCTTCCTTTTACAGGCCAATGATGTGAAAAGCTTGGAAGTGGTTTAAAATTAAAACCCACTGAAAAAAAATGAGATGAACTATTCACAGATGATATTAATCATCTTTCGTATTTACCGTAAACCGTAAACACGGGAAACTATTTTAATTTTGTATTGCATAATAATATATCTTTTTCTATCGTTTTGCATACCTGTATTTAAAAAAACGACACGAATTATCCCATACACAATTTCAAGATGATATTAATCATCTTTCGTATTTACCGTAAACCTGTAACATCATAGCAACTACAAACAGTTACACTGAGTAATTTGTGTTCTAAGACGTAGACGTCACGGGAAACTATTTTAATTTTGTATTGCATAATAATATATCTTTTTCTATCGTTTTGCATACCTGTATTTAAAAAAACGACACGAATTATCCCATACACAATTTCAAGATGATAAAATCAACGTTAGGCAGTACCATACCCGCCTTTACGGGAGCACACAACATGATGTCGTCATCTCTCAACTCCATTTCTCTCAGCTGTGACAGGTGTTCCTGTGGATCGCCGAAATCCAGCATTTCTTTCATCACCGGCATGACATCCTCACCGTACCGAAGCACAGATATGCTGTTCCCGTTTTTGTCTCGGGCCTCAAGGTACTCTCCAACAGGTTTATCTTTATATAATGATAATAAAACTGACCTTTATTTCTACAGGTGTCAATCTGTGAATTTAGTGTCACACGCGCGCGCACACCCTCACACCCGCACATCACAAAATGCATATGTGAATTAGCCCTACGACGTGACAACGGCCCACTACCAGTGTATATAACATAATGGTTATTCACAATGTCTCTATGTATTATATTAAAATTCGCCTTATATGTTTGAGTTTAGTGCGAATCGTTAAGAATTATATTTCAGAATCATATACATCTGTGCAATTTGTGTATGCTATATATATGAGTTCAGTTTCCATCACAATTCATGGAAGTATGAAAATAACTTAAGATTTATTTACGTACCTGTTTCCTCGGCCATGATAACTCATAAGACTGAACAGTGAATCTACTTATATTACACAACCTAATCTGTCACACATGACAGTATATACATGGTCACAGGACGCGATGACCGACAGTGTTATCGGCTACCTGTACAGTATTTACATTTGTTGGCTACCTCCGTCGATACAACAGAGAAAAGTAAACAGGTCGCTTACCTGACTTTATTTACAATCACATCGTTACATTTTTCGTAGAAATATTAAGCATTCTAAATATCGACAAATGCTATTATGCAATATGGCGCGTAAAACGTTGCGATATTCTAACATCTTTTTGATTTGTGTTCCTAATCCTGTCATTTATATACAATATCTGGTGCTTTATATTTGAGAAGCTGTTCTCTATTGTCTAAATATTGTGATGTTAATTCGAAAAACTTCTTTATTTTCCAAATCCGTTGTTTTATGTTCGATAAAATCAAATAACCTATGATTCAAGCTGTATCGAGTATACATCACAATATTGTACAATTTTAATCACACAAGGTTTACAATGAAATCAGAAGATTATGCAAAGAAAACGAAAGCTTTACATTGTAAATCACATTATTTTTCCAATATGCATCACAAATTTTACAACATAAAACTTAATGTTTTGAACAAACATAACAAGATTTATCATATGATACACAAGATTTGGAAAACAAAGTGTTTTACAATCCATTTGTCCATTTTTGTTTACGTGTTATGAACAGCCAGTATCATTTAATGACGTGCTAGTGGTGGTGGAAAATAGCCGGAGTTCTTATGAAAAATACCGATATGTACCTGGTAACAACAACACATCAATGTATTCTTCAGCCGTGTAAGTAACGAGCTGTACGTGTACACATAAAGTTACAGCAGCACTCAATGTATCCTACAACTTTGTCTCCTCGTCAGGAACACTCCTTGTAAGTAACGAGCTGTACGTGTACACATAAAGTTACAGTAGCACTCAATGTATCCTACAGCTTTGTCTCCTCGTCAGGAACACTCCTTGTTATAACGAGCTGTACGTGTACACATAAAGTTACAGTAGCACTCAATGTATCCTACAACTTTGTCTCCTCGTCAGGAACACTCCTTGTAAGTAACGAGCTGTACGTGTACACATAAAGTTACAGTAGCACTCAATGTATCCTACAAATTTGTCTCCTCGTCAGGAACACTCCTTGTTAGTAACGAGCTGTACGTATACACATAAAGTTACAGTAGCACTCAATGTATCCTACAGCTTTGTCTCCTCGTCAGGAACACGCCTGGTAAGAAATGGTCTGTACGTATACACATAGTGTTACAGCATCACTCAATGTATTCTACAACTTTTTCTCCTCGTCAGGAACACTCCTTGTAAGAAACTCAATGTATCCTACAGCTTATAAGTTATGCTATTGGAAGTTTAGCACAAGTGACAATCGTCCATTGTCTTTCAATCACTTTGGTTTTGCCATAGTCGCCCGTGGTCTTTAAAGTTGTATCCTCTTAACATCACTGATGAGAGGAATAAGGGAGAAACTGTTTGGTCTTCTGTATTTAACTTTTTATATGAGGACAAAGTGAGGTTTGAAGGCCTTATTTTTGAACTTACACACCCCCACCATCAATCTTTCTTTTTTGTCTGTCTTTTTAGATGCTTTACGTCCTTGTTGCGGTACCCCGCGTCCAACCATCCATATCTTCTTTCTTTCGTTTTTGGAGCTTAACGTCCGTGTTCCAGTGATAACCGAGCCTAGGACACTCCCACCATCCACACTTATTGTGTATTTCTTATATAAGAAGGGAGACAAATATGAGGCAGGATACTATAGGCCTGTTAGCCTTACATCAGTTATATGTAAGACAATGGAGCTAGATCAGTATCCCTGTAAATGTTATATGATATGGAATAAGTAGACAAAAGTGGTAGACAATGGTCTACCAGTGTTTTGTACATGTTTGAAAAATACCTGTGACATCCCTTCAGTAAAAGAAAAAAAAAGCGGCAAGAGCATTCGATCCAAGAACTTTGCAGCTGAGAGCAAGGGTCTTACCGCCGTGCTACCGATACTTTATTGATTAAACATAACTGTAGAGTTTGAAATGTCAACGTTTCTTTCAAAAATAGAAAATTGAACCCCGTTTGACTCTTAAACTGAAATACAAGAGACAATCGTCCAATGACTTTGGGACTACCGTATCCAACTTTTCATTGAAGGACATACTGACACCTTCCTTTAGGAGTAGATATTCCCAACATCCACTTTCATCTTTTGAGCTGAACGGTCTTGGTGCGGTTATAACGAAGCCTGGGACACTCCCACCATCCACCCTTTTGTATATTTTTTTATATGGTTGCATAATGTCGTCTGTGTGGGTGACTACTCATTTGCATACATGGTACACAGTTTCACTTCAAATCAAATGCAACTTATAAAACCAACCTGTCGATAGGTATTTATGTTTAAAATAACAAATAACGTAATAATATTTTCACGAAAAAGCTAAAATATGATGAGATTTGAAGCTATTTGGTTCATTTGCAACTGTATTTATTTCTATGCCATGGGTTACGTCCCCTTAGCCCTTACCGAGTCGTAGGTACGTAATAATACGGTACGTAACATGTCGGATTCATATCGAATTTGCGCAAGTAAAACCCTAACTGAGAACCCCTGTGATTTACCTGGACATGTGTGAACTATAGTCATCTCTTTCATGGGTAATTTCTAATCGTCGGACTCTATGTCCTAAATGATTTCACACATTATTACAGTCAATATACGAAAAAATCATCTGATTTGGTCAGGGGCGTATGATAAAGACACTCCCGGATTTGGTTTAAAACAAATAAAACTGCGAGAAGATCTAGAATTTGAAAATACAATAGAACAGAACAATTGATTATTACTATAGCAATTAAAATTTGAAGATTGACAACTGAAAACTCTTGATCCATGATTCGGATTGGACGGGATCAACAACATCTGTCGTCAACTATATCTTAATATAACCCATTACACTAAGGAAAGAAGGACAATTATTAGAAATCGATTAACCACAGTATTTTAAAAAAGACATTTTTTCATTACTTTAGCAATGTTTTTTTGACAAGGCTTATTATAGGACGCTAAGTGTCTATTAATTAGTACAACTATTAAGTGTTAACAATGTGGAAGAATTGAATAAGACGGGTAAATGTATATATTTAACATTAAAAAAAGGACATAGAAATGAAGTCAGGGATAATTCCTTGATATTGTATGTTTATGTATTAATTGCATACTCATCTCCCTGTATTTGTATATCTGTGTATGTTTATGTTGTTACCTATGAACCTAAAGGTCCGTGGAAATAAAATAAACCGTTGAACTTGCACAGTACAATTATCATTACGGCCATTACCTAAGGATCACTTCGTCCGATAGTTATTGACACGGAACTGATTATAAAGATTAGTTATAGAAATATGTATTTTGATTCAGAAACAATTGAAAAAACAAAGCAAACAGACAACAAGGCAATTAGTCGTGACTGGTACGTAATCACTTCCGTATAAGTTTTTTTCTGAAAATCTTAATGGAATAGCCCTGTATCTATTATTGTCTCGTCCTACCTCTTTTCAATTCCCGAAAGTATCTTAAAGCATTCTGAACCCAGACAAAACAAAATCAAGAATGAAAGCCACTGTTATCATTGTGGTTACAGCTTGGCGGCTATGTGGAAATGTCGTTTATATTTCATTCTTCATTTCGTTAATTACAAGTGAAATCCTTTATTTCGAAGATATCAAATGTACTTGATCAGAAAACAATATGATTATTTACTATATATAGACAGCAGTCCGTCTTAATGACTCATCGATACACGTACATTGATGCCGTGTTTAACTGTACAGCGTTGGGACTGTGAACTGAAATTTTCACCTAAAGAATGACACAACTACTTTTTAATTCAGGTTTGTCAAACTTATACCAATGTGTTGGGAAGTTACTATACTTGATAATCAGAGGCATACGTTTGGAGATTTATACACAATATTGCTTTTATTTCACATTGAAGTTGTCAAAATAATCGTTTTGTTAACAATTTGGTAAGACTACAAAGGAGATTCATATGTGAGTTTCAACTTAAAAATGACACAACTAATTTTCATCTAAACATTTAAAAATGATATAGTTGTAATGAAGAAATGTTAAAATTTGCCGATCAGAGGCATACATTTTGGCATTTTTGATCTACAAAACGATATATTAATATTTATCTGAAATGCCGCTATATAATTCATAGTAAAAATATCGTGCACCTGGAGCGAGTGTCCTCAATAGCTGCATATGCTAGGAAATTACCAGTCAAAAATCACGATAAATGCCTTTCGTTTACCAGGAAGTGACAACTTTGTCTCATGTGACCTTGAATAGAGGTCAAAGCAATTTCTTAATCGGTCCAATATGCTGCCGCTTGGAATTTTGTTAACTGGGAATAATGATGTTGGACAGACGGACGACGATCGACGGACGGACTCTGGACGCCGCACGAACAAAAGATCACATGACACTTCCGGCCAGGTGAGCTAAAATCTAACTACAAGGAGGTGCATTTCAGAAGAATCAAGTTAACACCCATCAGGCAGGCATCAAGAGATCCTATATGTAGAAGTTAGATGAGGGTTGTTCCATCTACTAATTATAGAGGACCAGTAAGCAGTGAAGCAGTAAACTGAAGGAAACATACATTGATTTAAACATATCTATTGCCTTCGATAGCAACGGAATTGATTGGGTTTAAGTTGTACAACTTGTAAAATTTCCCTATAATAAAAAAAAGTATGATATGTAGACAAATTTAAAGGTAAATGTACGTATAAGTTATAAATTGACTTGTCATTTACATTGCCAAAGTAAAAGAAACATGTCATTGTATAATTCCATTGAATTCGTCTTTTAACATTTGAACTTTGAACCTTAGACAAATATTGAAATAGTAATTTCTATCGAATTGACATCTTCTACCTTTA